AAGATGCGGGGGGAGGGAGAGGGAAGGAGGGGTTCATGATCTCAAGGGTGAGTTAACGGTTCGGGAGAAAGTAGTACAACATATATTATATATATATATATATATATATATATATATTTTGTGTGTGTGTGTGTGTGGTGTGTGTGTGTGTGTGTGTGTGTGTTGTGTGTGTGTGCGTGTGTGTGAGATAGATATGAATACATTATGGATGGATATGTATATCATGGCCCGTTAGCTGCTTATCTGCCTAGCCTTCCTCAGCGCCATATATCGGATGGAAAGGTCATATCTAAGAAAAAAATGGCTATACTTCTTCAAGGCGAGAAAAAATATAGGTCATTTTGAATCAAGGTTGGAATCCTGTGACAGAAAACGGGTTAGGCGAATCATAGAAAATTGTGTTTTTTTTTATAAGAGGGAAAACTATTGTAAAAAAAAACACGAACGACAAATTTCATCGGGTGCGTCAAAGAAAATTGTAAAATTTCGGGGTAACTCTCATAAACACGAGAATCACCGTACGTCTAAAATATGCATAGATGTATACACATCTCCATTTCCACCAACCATTCGAAATAGGATTTGTCATTTAACTTATCCAAGGCTTATTCCTCTCACTCTCTCTAACTTGTTTACAACTCCTCTGGCCTACTCTGCAAGTTGCAAGATTCTGCCGCGTCATGTTACCTCTTTTCCTAGACCTCGACGCAAGATTAATAAGCCTTTTGCATAAACCACAACTCGGTATTCTTAACACAGACCAGCTATTTGTATTAACGATGTATTATCATATCTATCTGTTGCATAATGTATGATAGGAGTTATTGTTATGAATGGCTCATGAGTATCATTATTATAATTGTTATTATTGATGATATTGTTTGCTATGATCATTATTATTATTATCATTGTTATTGTTATCATGATAACTGATAATGATAATAACGATGATGATGATGACTATAATAGTGATAATGATAATAATGATAAAAGTAATAGCAACAGTCATAGTAATTATTAGTTTTATACCGATCATTATCATTTTCATCGATATTGTTATTTTCATTATCATTATCATTATCCTTGTAACTGACATCATTATCATCGTTATCATCATTACCATAATTACTTTTTTATTATCATCACTATTCTTGTTATTGTTTTTATCATTGTTGTCATCACTATCGTTATTATTTTTTTTATTGATATCATTATTCCTGTTACTGTTATTATCATCATCACTGTTATTATCATTATCACTGTTATTAGCATTATTATCATTACTTTATCACTGTTATTATCATTATTATCATTATATTACTTTATCACTGTTATATCATTATTATCATTATTATCATTACTTTATCACTTATTATCATTATTATCATTATTATCATTACTTTATCACTGTTATTATCATTATTATCATTATTATCATTACTTTATCACTGTTATTATCATTATTAATCATTATTATCATTACTTTATCACTGTTATTATCATTATTATCATTATTATCATTACTTTTTCTCATTATTATCAATATCAGTTGTCACTATAGTGTACGATGACTGTCACTATAGCAACAGTGACAAGAGTACACATTAAGATTCCGTAAGCAGATGCCCTCGCCCTAAATGTACACTTGTACGTGCCTTGAAGATGTAATGTTGTACTACTGAATGCGGATATGCGGCTTAATGGCTGCTATGTTGTTGTGGGGATGCAGACACGCACGCACGCACATAAGCAAGCAAGCACGTACACGCTTACGGACACGGACACGGACACGCATACACGGTCTCTCTCACATACTCACACGCACGTACACACTCTCTCTCTCTCTCTTTCTTTTTCTTTTTTTCTTTCTCTTCTCTCTTTCTTCTCTTTCTTTCTCTTTCTTTCTTCTTTCTTTCTCTCTCTCTCTCTCTCTCTCTCTCTCTCTCTCTCTCTCTCTCTCTCTCTCTCTCTCTCTCTCTCTCTCTCTCTCACACACACACACACACACACACAAACACACAACACACACACAACAAACAACAAACAAACAAACAAACACAAACAAACAAACAAACAAACATACAAACAAACAAACAAACAAGTATTTGCTGTATGTTAGCGTCTACGTGCAGCATGACCAAGAGAATGATACAATGACGTCACTCCAACATAGACGGAAAAGACATCCGATAAGCCTTATCAGTCACGACAAAATGAAAGATTAAGAGAAGAGAAGAACTTTATTAAAGACGATCACCTTTATCACAACAAAGGGAATTAGATACCACGATAGAGAGCGAGAGATAACAGTTCTTACGCTAAATTAATTATTATTATTATCAACGCTAAATTGTGACGGATAATTTGAAGGAAAAAAAAATATTAAGTGTGACATAGGAGGAAGGTCTAATGAAATTCTAATTAATTCACCTGTCTAATAAATTCATTCTAATTAATTCACCTGTCTAATGAAATTCTAATTAATTCACCTGTCTGTCTAATTTAATGAAATTCTATTTAATTCACCTGTCTAATGAAATTCTAATTAATTCACCTGTCTAATGAAATTCTATTTAATTCACCTGTCTAATGAAATTCTAATTAATTCACCTGTCTAATGAAATTCTAATTAATTCACCTGTCTAATGAAATTCTATTTAATTCACCTGTCAATTGAAATTCTATTTAATTCACCTGTCTATTGAAATTCTAATTAATTCACCTGTCTATTGAAATTCTAATTAATTCACCTGTCAATTGAAATCCCATTATTCAAGGTCAGATCTCTTAATTAATACTCAAGAAAAGGTTTAAAGAAAATATTTCAAAGTACGATAAAGATTTCATAGAAATATTTGTTGTTTTGTGAAACGGAGCTTATTGTTAATCCACACAGACGTGTGTGCGTGTGCGTGTGCATTCAAATAAATAGATAAGTAAATAAATAAATAAATAAATAAATATATGCATATATGTATGCATTGACATCATCACTGGACAATATTTCTACAAAACCGCAATTTTCACAACGAATTTACTGCGCAATATATATATTCTTAATTTACTGGGCAATATATATATCTTAATTACTGCGCAATATATATCTTAATTTACTGCGCAATATATAATCTTAATTTACTGGGCAATATATATCTTAATTACTGCGCAATATATATCTTGATTACTGGGCATACATATCTTAATTACTGCGCAATACTTAATTTACTGGCAATATATATCTTCATTTACTGCGCAATAATATCTTAAATTTACTGCTATATATCTTAACGACACGCATACCATACCAAACCGTACCAAAAAAAAAAAAAAAAAAAAAAAAAAACATGCCTAGATACCTTCACACACACACACAATCAAAACAAAAAAAATGGAGAGAGAGAGAAAAAATCTAAAAAAAAAAAAAAAAATGAGAGAGAGAGAGAGAAGAGAAAAAAATCTAAAAAAAAAAAAATGGAAAGAGAGAGAGAGAAGAAGAAAAAAATCTAAAAAAAAAAAAATAATAAAAAAAAATAAACGAAAACAAAACACGATGGCAGATAATAGAGTTCGACCTCACTGAATTCCTTTTCCCAGCCGCTGACGTCCACATAACGGGGTCTGATCCCTTTTCTGTCGGCATTAATCTCGTGGAATCCAAAGCCGGTAATCCCCAGCGTGCCTTCTTTATCAATGTAATCCCGCTTATGTTGATTTCGTCATTGCCTTTTCGTGGAATTTAGATGTCGACACACGTACAGATATATGTATGTATATGTGTGTGTGATATATATATAATATATATATATATATATATATATATATATATATATATATATATATAAATATATATATATATATATATATATATATATATATATAATATATATATATATATATATATATATATATATATATATAATATATAAATATATAATATATATATATATATATATATATATATATATATATATATATATATATGTGTGTGTGTGCATGTACACACACATACCCACACAAACACACACACACACACACACACACAACACACACACACACCACACACACACACACACACACACACACACACACACACACACACACACACACTCACACAAACATATATATACATGCACATAATATATATTTTACCTCACCAGGCACACCCAATCCCATACTTCATATTCGAATGATTTGTCCTAACATGCTTTTCATCACAAAGTTATAAAGAAAACGATCAATCTTTTCTTTTTAATCAACTGCTTCCATTATTTTTTTTCTTCATATTATGACAAGATAACAGCTGCTTGAGGAATATTAAGGCGAGATACGGCCAGACATGTAGTGAACATGTTTATTATTTTTATTCGTGTTTTTTAATCACTGTACGTCACTATAAGTAGTTGATTCATTACATTGTTTTGTGTGATTTTGTGTTTTTTTTTTTTGTGTTGCATTTCACTACACATCACTTTTATAAGTTGATTTCATGTTTATGTATTTTTATTAATTCGCATTTATACTTTTTTGATTCATTATTTCTCTCTCTTCCTCTCTCTCTTCTCTTCTCTCTCTCTCTCTCTCTCTCTCTCTCTCTCTCTCTCTCTCTCTCTTCTCTTCTCTCTCTCTCTCTCTCTCTCTTCTCTCTCTCTCTCTCTCTCTCTCTCTCTCTCTCTCCTCTCCCTTCCTCTCCTCTCACTCTCTCTCTCTCTCTCTCTTGTGTTCTCTCTCTCTCTCTTCTCTCTCTCTTCTCTCTCTCTCTCTCTCCTCTCTCTCTCTCTCTCTCTCTCTCTCTCTCTCTCTCCATCTCTCTCCTCTCTCTTCACTCTCCCTAATCTCTATCTCTCTCTCTCTCTCTCTCTTCTCTCTCTCTCTCTCCACTTCCTCTCCCACACTTTCCCTCTCCTACACCTCTCCCACCTTCACCCTCATACCACTTCATCATCATATATTTTTTTTCTCAATAAAAGCCCTTATATTAAATTCCTTTTCTCTCCCTCACAGGACCGCGTTCGTCATGGCTAAGCAGGAGACGACAGCGGGGCACACGAACCCCGCCTTTGTCAACGATGAAGGAGCACCATGGTATGTATTTGTGTTGTTTGTTTGGTGTTGTGTGTTATGTGCATGTGGTATTTGTGTGTGTGTGAGAGAGAGAGAAGAGAAGAGAGAGAAGAGATTTAGAGAGATGGTTTTGGATGAGTGTTGACTGACGAGAGGAGAGAGAGGGAGAGAAGAGGAAGGTGAGAGGAGGGGAAGAAGAAGCGGGAGAGGAAGAGAGGGATGATAGAAAAGAGAAGAGATGGGTGAGAGTAGTCAGAAAGGAGGATAGAGGAAAGAGAGAGATTAGAAAGAGAGGAGCGAGAGAGAGGGGAGAGAGGGGGCAAGAGAGGAGAGAGAACGAGCTAGGAGAGAGAGAAGGAGACGAAAGAGAGAAAGAGAGAGATGAGGAGAGGAGTGGAAGAGGAGAAGAGGTGGGAGAAGAGAATGAGAGACAGGAGAGTGGAAGATAGCAGAAGAGAGAGAGAGGAGAGAGAGGTGAGAGAGAGGAGAGAGGAGGAGAAGAGGAGATAGAGGAGCGGAGAGAGGAGAGAAGAGATAGAAGAAGAGAGAGAGAGAGAGAGAGAGAAGAGAGAGAGAATGGGTGGAGTGAACAGAAAAAGGGAAAGAGAGAGATAGAAAGAGAGAGAGACAGAGAGAGAGAGAGAGAGAGAGAGAAGAGAGAGAACGATGATGAGAGAGAAGAACAGGATGAGACGAAGAGAAGATAGGAAGGAAAGAGAGAGAGAGACATGACAATAAGACGCCAGACGACCTTACACACATACAAACAAATGAACACACAAACACACAGCGAAACGACCAGACAGACAAACAAAACCACAACAAACAAAAACAACAACCAACCAAACAAAAAACACAAACAAACAACACAAATAAAACAACACACAAACAAACAACAATCAACCAAACAAAAAACAAAATAAACAACCAAATAAACAAACACACAAACAAAACAACTAACACCACCAAACAAAAAACACAAAAAACACACAACAAACAACCAAATAAACAAACACACAAACAAACAACTAACCAACCAAACAAAAAACACACAAACAACCAAATAAAAACAAACAACTAACCAACCAACAAACAAACCAAACATAAACAAACTAAAACAGACAGACACAGAACATGGCCTCAGACACGTGCCATTCAGCCATTGGCAAACAGGACGACCATAAAGGTGTAAATGACACTTATTTTTAGACCCTGACTTGTTGACCTCTCATCGCCCTGCTCCCCCCCTCCCCCCCTAACCCACCCCTCCCTCCCAACTCAAAGGGTTTGACCTCTCTCGCCCCCTGCTCCCTCCCCTTCCCCTACTCCCTTCCAACTCCAAGGGTTTGACCTCTCGACCCCTGTTCCCCCTCCCATCAACTCCAAAGGGTTGACCCCCTCGCCCCCTGTCCCCCCCCCTCCACCCCCAATCCCCACCAACTACCAAGGGTGTTGAACCTCACTCACCCCCTGCTCCCTCCCCTCCCCTTCCCCCCCCTCCCAACTCCCAAAGGTTTTGACCTCCCTCGCCACCCCTGCTCCCTCCCCCCCTCCCCCACCCCCCCCACCCTCCCTTCCAACGCCAAGGCGTTTGACCTCCCTCGCCCCCTGCTCCCTCCCCTCCCCCCCACACCCTCCCTTACCCAACTCAAGGTTTGACCTCGCCTCGCCCCCCTGCCCTCCTTCCCCCCAACCACTCCCCAACCCTCCCAAAACTCCAAGGAGTTTGACCTTTCACCTCGCCCCCATGTGCCCCCCTCCCCCCTCCCCCCACCCACCCTGTCCAACTCCAAGGTTTGACCTCTCTCGCCCCCTCTGTTCCCCCCCCACCCCCCCACCCTCCAACTCCAAGGTTGACCTCCCCGCCCCCTGCTCCCTCCCCCCTCCCTCCCCCACCCCCCTCCAACTCCAAGGTTGACCTCCCTAACCCCCCTGTTCCCACCCCCCCACCCCTCCCCCCAACCCCCCTCCTAATCCAAAGGTTTTGACCTCCTCGCCCCTGCTCCCCTCCCCTCCCACCCCCACCCTCCCTCCCAACTCCAAAGGTTGACCTTCCCTCGCCCCCCCTTTCCCCCCCTCCCTCCCCCTCCCTCCCAACTCCAAGTGGTTTAACCTCCCTCGCCCCTGTTCCCCCCCACTCCCCCCAACTCCAAAGGTTTGACCTCTTCGCCCCCCTGCTCCCCCCACCCCTCCACCCCACACCCCCCCTCCCACCCAACTCCAAAGGTTTTGACCTCTCGCTCGCCCCCCGCTTCCCCTCCCCCCACACCCCCCCTCCCAACCCTTCCAACTCCAAGGGTTGACCTCCCTCACCCCCCGTCCCCCTCCCCTCCCCCCACTCCCCAACTCTAAAGCTTTGACCTCCCTCGCCCCCTTCCCCTCCCCCCCACCCTCCTTCCCAACTCCAAGGGTTTGACCTCCCTCGACCCCTGCTCCCTCCCCCTCCCTCCCCCCACCCTCCCTTCCAACTCCAAGGGTTGACCTCCCACGCCCCCCTGGCTCCCCCCCACCCCTCCCCCCCACTCCCCCCCAACCCTCCCAACTCCAAAGATTTGACCTCCCTCGCCCCCTACTCCCTCCCCTCCCCCTCCCCCCACTCCCCCCTCCCAACTCCAAGGGTCTGACCTCCCTCGCCCCCCTGCTCCTTCCCCTCCCCTCCCCTCCACTCCCCCCACTCCCCCCCACTCGAAGGGTGTGACAGGACACGGGGCCAGGAAAAGCGAGGCAGATAAGGTCGATTGACGAGGTCGTGGGGGACGGCGGGGTCTCATGGATGAGGGGGGGAGGGGGAGGGAGCTTAGCTTTTTTTCTGTTCTGATTTAATTTGCATCGATGGTGTATATATTCTTATGTGTGTATTCATGCACGCTTACACTCATTACACGCATTGGATATATGTACATATATACATACATGCATACATCCATACACACATACACACACACACACACCACACACACCACACACACACACACACACACACACACACACACACACACACACACACACACACACACACACACACACCATACATATATATATATATATATATATATATATATATATATAATATAATATATATATATATATATATATATAATATCTGTGTGTGTGTGTGTTGTGGTGTGTGTGTGTGTGTGTGTGTGTGTGTATGTATATATGCATATAATGTATAAATACACACACACACACCCACAACCTCCGCCCACCCACTCTAACCCTCCTCCCTTCCCATCCCTCCCTCCCTCCCTCCCTCCAGCAGGCGCGACCAAGGCAGCGGAAGCAGGCGAGTCAGCTGCTGCGGTGGCCAAGCAGAAGGAGCTGACGAAGGAGCAGAAGCAGGAGAAGTTCCAGATGCTCAAGAACGTGTTCATCATCTCCATTGCGTTCATGTTCTTGTTCACCAGCTTCAATTCGATGGCGAATCTGCAGTCGTCGATTAATAAGTGAGGGGATTTTTGGTGTTTTTTTGTTTGTTTGTTTGTTTGTTTATGTTTATGTTTTTGTTTTTGTCGATTAATAAGTGAGGGTTTTTTGGATGTTTTTCTTGTTTGTTTGTGTTTTTGTTGATGTTTATGTTTTTGTTTTGTCGATTAATAAGTGAGGATATTTGGAAATGTTTTTCTTGTTTGTTTGTGTTTTTGTTGATGTTTTTTTATGTTTTTGTTTTTGTCGAGTAATAAGTGAGGCTTTTTATGTTTTTGTTTGTTTGTTTGTTTTGTGTTTATGTTTTTGTTTTTTTGTTTTTGTTTGTTTTTAGTTGATGTTTTGTTTTTTTGTTTATGTTTTTGTTTTTTGTTTGTGTTTTTGTTGATTTTTTTTTTGATGTTTTTGTTTTTGTTTTTGTGATGTTTTTATGTTTATGTTTTTTTGATGTTTGTTTTCTTGTGATGTTTTTTGTTTACGTTTTTTTGGTTGGTTTTTGTTTACGTTTGTTTTTGTTGATGTTTTATTACGTTTTGTTTTTGTTTTTTGTTTTTTTTTGTTTTGATTACGTTTTGTTTTGTTGATTTTTGTTTTGGTTTTTGTTTTTGTTTTTGTTTTTTTGTTGATGTTTTTTTGTTTATGTTTTTGTTTACGTTTTGTTTTTGTTGATGTTTTTGTTTTTTTTGTTGATGTTTTTCGTCGATTGATAAGTGAGGCTTTTTATTTTATTTTTATTTTGTTTTTGTCTTTGGATGTTTTTGTTGATGTTTTTTTTCTTGAATTGTATTTGTGGGGTTGTTATTTTTGTTATTATTTTCACTATTTTTGTTATTATTACTATCATTATTATCGCCATCATCATTACCATTATTATCAATTATTATCATTATTATTATATCATTATTCATTTATTTATTATCATATTATCATTATTATTATTGATTATCATTATCCATTACTTAGTATCATTATTATTATCATTATCATTATTATTGTTATTATTATCATTATTACTAGTATCATTATTATTATCATTATTATTATCATTGCTAGTATCATTATCATTTTCATTCATTATCATTAACCCTGTTACCATCATCATCATCATTATCATCATCACAATCATTAATAATAATAACAATAATATTCATAATAGAAATTGATACCAATCATACTATTGATAACAATACATTAATAACAATTAATAATTAATTAATAATAATTAATAACATTATCATTAACTTGACCATGAATCTTTTCTCGGACAATACTAATTAATAAACAAATCTCAAATTCCAGCAATTAACTTGATATCAAAATAAATTTATATCGTAAATATTCCTTTTATCTATTAATTTACGTGGAATAATAATAATAAAAAAACACTTCTTGAAAAAAAAGTTGAGGTGATTTCATATCTTTGAGACCGTGTTAAAGGGTTAATAGATTAATTAAATTTGATTAAATTAAAGATTAATGATTGGTGATTGGGTAAGAGATTAGGATCCGGCTTCATAAGCGTTAAAGATTAGGCTGTGATCTTTGTTTTGAGTTATAATTTAATCGTTAATGATTAGTTTTAGATGTCATTATTATTATCATGATTATCATCATCATTAATATCAGTATAATTTCTATCATTATAATATCTGTCATTATTACTATTGTCCTCATCATTATTATTATTGTTATTATTGTTATCATTATCATAACCATCATTATTACTTATTATTATCATCGCTATTAGTAATAGAAGTAGTAGTATCATTATTATTATTATTATTGTTATTATTATTATTATTATTATTATTGTTTTATTATTATTTATTATTATTATTATCATTTATTATTATTATTATTATTATTAATTATTATATTATTATTATTATTTATTATTATTATTATTATTATTATTTTATTATTATTATTATTATTATTATTATGTATTATTATTATTATTATTATTATTAATTATTATTATTATTTATTAATTATCATTATTATTACTATTATTATTATTATTACTGTTATTATCATCATTCTCCTTTTTTTAAGTTAGTGTATTTCTTACTTGTCTGTATTTGTAGAATGAAGAATGAAGAGACAAAATAAAAACTAAATTATTGGCACCTTAGCATCGGTTATGCTTTACATTGCAAATTATGATGATGATAATGATAATGGTTATAATAATGACAGTAATAGGAAGCAGTTAATTAATTATGCTGCTAGTTAATAGGATAATAGGGATAATTATGCTGATGATGACCATTAAGATTAACCATTGTAACAAATAGAATAAAACAAAATTATCTTTATATCGATAATCATATCAATTATCATATATTACCATGAATGATTATATCAATCATAATTACATTAATTCTCGCTGCCCTGTCCATATCATTATATCGATAATCATACAAACCATTATATCATATTATCATAAATCCATCATATTAATTATTATCACATTGATTATCCACCTTCTCCTATCACCCTTATGTTGATATTCATTTCAATCATCATATCACCATAAATCATCATATTATAATGAAATACTAATATAATAACATAATGATATGATAATATAATAATGATATAATATAATGATATAATAACATCATATAGTAATATGATATATTATAATATGATAACAATTATATATAATGATATAATGATATGATATAATAATGTAAGATAATATAATATGATATGATGATATGATATGTTAATGTAAGATAATATAATATGATATGATGATCTGATATAATAATGTAAGATAATATATATAATATAATGATATAACGATATAATATAGTAATATAATGATATAATATGATAATAACATATAAAACTATACAAACAACACCCCCCCCTCATTTCTCTCCCTCCCACCTCATCTTCTACCACACACCCCCATATAACACCCCACCCTTCTCACCCCCTTCCTCTCTCCTCTTCTTCCCCCCACGCCCACAGAGTCGAAGGCACGGCCGCCCTCTCCACCCTCTACGCCGCCCTCGTCATATCCTGCGCCTTCGTGCCCACGTGGATGATCAAAAAGTTCAAAGCCAAGTGGACTCTTGCCGTGTCCATGTTGGGTTACTCGACCTACATAGCCGCCCAGTTCTACCCTCGGGTGTGGACTCTCGTGCCCACCTCCATCCTGCTGGGTCTCGGGGCGGCGCCCATGTGGTCGGCCAAGTGCACGTATCTGACGCAGGTAAAGGGGTTTTAGTTCATTGTAGTGGTGGTTAATAAAGGGTTAAGGGGGTTGGGTTAATTAGTGGTGATTAATAACCCCCCCCCCGATTTATTGATTGCATCGGAGGATTATCTTCAAAAAAAAACCTGAGAGAAAAAAAAGCGAAAAATAACCCCCCCCCCCCGATTTATTGATTACATCGGATTAAAATAATAATAATTATTTATAATAATAATAATAAATAAAATGATTTTATCTTCAATAAACCCCCCTCCCCCCTCCCCCCCCATCCCCCCCATCGCCTAAAAAAATAATAATTATTACTTATTTATATGATAATAAATAAAATAAATCTATCTTAAATACCCCCCACCCTCCCCCCCACCCCCCATCCCATCCCATAAATAATTATTTACTTATGATAATGATAATAAATCAAATAATTTTATCTTAAATAACCACCCCCTCCCCTCCCCCCTCCCCCCATCGCCTTTAAATAACCCCCCCTTTCCCCCCCTCCCCCCTCACCCCCATCGCCAATTTTATCTTAAATAACCCCCCTCCCCTTCCCCCTCCCCCCTCGCCTCCAGGTCGGCACGAAGTACGCGGCGCTGGTGGGCGAGAAACGCCGAGGTCGTCATCGTGAGGTTCTCGGGATCTTCTTCCTGTTCTTCCAGTCGACGCAGGTCTGGGGGAACCTCATCTCTTCTTCGGGTGAGGATATGTGGGCGTGTGTGTGTGTGTTTGGGTGTGTGTTTGTGGGGGGGGGGGGAACCTCATCTCTTCTTCGGGTGAGGATGGGCGTGTGTGTGGGGGGGGGGGGTGAGAGTGTGTGTGTGTGGGGGGTGAGAGTGTGTGTGTGTTTGTGTGGGTGGGGTGTGGGGGTGGGTGGGTGTGAGGGGGGGGACCTCATCTCCTCTTCGGTGAGGATGGGCGTGTGGGGGTGGGTGAGGGGATGGAAGGGGGGACTCATCGGGTGGGTGTGTGGGTGGTGGGATGGGGGTGGTGTGGGTGGGGTGGTGTGGGTGTGGGGGGGGACCTCATCTCCTCTTCGGGTGAGGATGGGCGTGTGGGGTGTGGGTGTGGAGGGGATGGGGGTGGGTGTGGGTGGGGGGTGGGTGGTGTGAGGGGGGGACCTCATCGGGTGAGGGATGGCGTGTGGGGGTGGGTGGTATGGGGGTGGGTGGGGTGTGGGGGTGGTGTGGGGTGTGGTGTGGTGGTGGGGGGGGGGGGTGTGGGGGGGGGGAAATCTCCTCTTCGGGTGAGGATATGTGTGTGTGATTTTTTTTTTTTTTTGTGTGTGTGTGTGTGTGTGTGTGTGATTTTTTTCTTTTTTTTTGTGTGTGTGTGTGTGTGATTTTTTTTTTGTGTGTGTGGGTTTGGTGGTGTGTGTGGGGGGGGGGGGGGGAACCTCATCTCCTCTTCGGGTGAGGTGTGTGTGTGGGGGGGGGTGAGAGTGTGTGTGTGTGTGCGTGTGTGTGTGTGTACGTGGGGGGTGAGAGTGTGTGTGTGTGCGTGTGTGTGTGTGTGTACGTGGGGGGGTGAGAGTGTGTGTGTTGTGTGCGTGTGGTGTGTGTGTGTGAGAGTGTTGGTGGTGTGTGTGTGTGTGTTGTGTTGTGTGTGTTGAGAGAGAGAGAGAGAGAGAGTGTGTGTGTGTGTGGTGTGTGTGTGTGTGTATGTGTGAGAGAGAGAGAGAGTGTGTGCGTGTGTGTGTGTGTGTGAGAGAGAGAGAGAGAGAGTGTGTGTGTGTGTGTGTGTGTGTGTGTTTGTGTGCGTGTGTGCGGGTGGAAAGAAGAAGGAGGGAGGGAGGGAGTGGGGAAAAGGAGAAGGAGAGAGGGAGGGAGTGGAGGGAGGAGTGGAAGGCAGGAGAGGAAGGAGAAGGAGAGAGGGAGGGAGTGGGGAAAAGGAGAAGGAGAGAGGGAGGGAGTGGGGAAAAGGAGAAGGAGAGAGGGAGGGAGTGGGGAAAAGGAGAAGGAGAGAGGGAGGGGTGGAAAGAGGAGGAAGAGGAGAGTGGAGGAAAAGGGAGAGGGAGGGAGTAGAAGGAAGGAGGATAGAGGAAGGAAGGAGAAGGAGAGTGGAAGGAAGAAGAAGAGAGAGAGGGAGTGGAAAGAAGGAGAAGAGGGAGGGAGGGAGTGGGGGAAAAGGAGAAGGAGAGAGGGAGGAGTAGAAGGAAGGAGAAGGAGAGTGGAAGGAAGAAGAAGAGAGAGAGGGAGTGGAAAGAAGGAGAAGGAGAGAGGGAGGGAGTGGGGAAAAGGAGAAGGAGAGAGGGAGGGAGTAGAAGGAAGGAGGATAGAGGAAGGAAGGAGAAGGAGAGTGGGGAAGAAGAAGAAGAGAGGAGTGGAAAGGAGAAGAAGAGAGGGAGTAGAAGGAAGGAGGATAGAGGAAGGAAGGAGAAGGAGAGTGGAAGGAAGAAGAAGAGAGAGAGGGAGTGGAAAGAAGGAGAAGGAGAGAGGGAGGGAGTAGAAGGAAGGAGGATAGAGGAAGGAAGGAGAAGGAGAGTGGAGGAAGAAAAGAGAGAGAGGGAGTGGAAAAGGAGAAGGAGAGAGGGGGAGTAGAAGGAAGGAGGATAGGAGGAAGAAGGAGAAGGAGAGTGGAAGGAAGAAGAAGAGAGAGAGGGAGTGAAGGAAGGAGAAGAAGAGGGAGGGAGTGGGGAAAGAGAAGGAGAGAGAGGAGTAGAAGGAAAGGAGGATAGAGGAAGGAAGGAGAAAGGAGTGGAAGAAGAAGAAGAAGAGAGAGGGGAGTGAAAGAAGGAGAAGGAGAGAGGGAGGAGTGGGAAAAGGAGAAAGGAGAGAGGGAAGTAGAAGGAAGGAGGATAGAGGAAGGAAGAGAAGGAGAGTGGAGGGAAGAAGAAGAGAGAGAGGAGTGAAAGGAGAAGGAGAGAGGGAAGTAGAAGGAAGAGGAAGAGGAAGAGATGGAGAAGGAGAGTGGAAGGAAGAAAAAGAAGAGATGGAGTGGAAGGAAGGAGAAGGAGAGAGGGAGGGAGTGGGGAAAAGGAGAAGGAGAGAAGGAGAGAGGGAGGAGTGGAAGAGAAGAAGAAGAAGTAGAAGGAAGGATAGAGGAAGGAAGGAGAAGGAGAGTGGAAGGAAGAAGAAGAGAGAGAGGGAGTGGGAAAAAGAGAAGGCGGAGAGAAGGGAGTGGGGAAAAGGAGAAGGAAAAGGTAGGCGGTGGGGAAAAGAAAAGAGAGGAGGGAGGGAGTGGGGAAAAGGAGGTGTCAGGGAATCTCACCTCTCTCCAAGGTAAATTGGGAACAAAGGGAAAAGTCCCGAATATCAATAATTTTCTCCAGCGATAATATTGTCTTTATTCCCCCATTCCTTTAAACATCAAGATTTTCCTTTTCGTCCCCCAAAGCTTGAGGTCAGAAAATATCGATCATTTTCTTGCCTGATACAAAAAAAAAAAGCCTAATCTCTCACACACAATTTTTTTCGTCGATCATTTTCTTGCCTGATACAAAAAAAAAAAAAAAAAAAAAAGCCTAATCTCTCACACATAATTTTTTTCGTCGCTACAATGTGACGTCACTATGGTACCATTCCTAGATTGTAAGATGAAGAAACACTTTTCTCTATTTCCTCCATAAATCAAAATTTTCTCCTGTCCGTAGATACTGACTTCAATGAACATTTATATTTTCATTCTATTTATATTCTCATTTATATTATGAATATTTACATTTTCATTCTTGCCATCATTTCCGCTCGTATTTTGAAAATTAATTGAAGTAATATTATTTATAGAGTATTAGTATAAACATCTCCCAACACAAAATACCCACTCGGACTTAGAAAATTAAATTGATTTAATGTTATATCTAGAGCACTAATAGGCCTACTAATGACCAATTATTTTTTCGACTCTCTCACCCCCCCCCCAAAAAAAAAAGGAAAAATTCACAAAATACCCACTCGGACTTAGAAAATTAATTGATTTAATGTTATATCCAGAGCACTAATAGGCCTATAATGACCCAATTATTTTTTCGACTCTCACCCCCCAAAAAAAAAAAAAAAAAAAAATCACAAATTACTTGCTCGGTCTTTAGAAAATTAATTGGATTAAATGTTAATCTAGAGCACTGATAGGCCTACTAATGACCAATTATTTTTCGATTCTCTCACCCCCCCCCCAAAAAAAAAAAAAAACACAAAATACCCACTCGGATTTAGAAAATTAATTTGATTTAATGTTATATCTAGAGCACTAATAGGCCTACTAATGACCAATTATTTTTTCGACTCTCTCACCCCCCCCCAAAAAAAAAAGGGAAAAAATTCACAAAATACCCACTCGGACTTAGAAAATTAATTTGATTTAATGTTATATCCCAGAGCACTAATAGGCCTACTAATGACGCAATTATTTTTTCGACTCTCTCACCCCAAAAAAAACAAAAATAGGAAAAAAAACAAAAAATACCCACTCGGATTTAGAAAATTAATTGGATTAATGTTATATCTAGAGCACTAATAGGCCTACTAATGACCCAATTATTTTTTCGAAGTCTCTCACCCCCCCCCAAAAAAAAAGGGAAAAAAAAAGATCACAAAATACCCCAGTCGGACTTAGAAAAATTAATTTGATTTAATGTTATATCTAGAGCACTAATAGGCCTACTAAATGACCAATATTTTTTTTCGACTCTTCTCACCCCCCCCCAAAAAAAAAAAAATCACAAAAATACTTTGCTCGGACTTAGAAAATTAATTTGATTTAATGTTATATCTAGAGCACTAATAGGCCTACTAATGACCAATTATTTTTTCGACTCTCTCACCCCCCCCCAAAAAAAAAGGAAAAAAATCACCAAAATACCCACTCTGACTTAGAAAATTAATTTGATTTAATGTTATATCTAGAGCACTAATAGGCCTACTAATGACCAATTATTTTTTGACTCTCTCACCCCCCCCCCAAAAAAAAAAAAATAGGAAAAAATTCACAAAATACCCACTCGGACTTAGAAAAATTAATTGGATTAATGTTATATCTAGAGCACTAATAGGCCTAACTAATGACCAATTATTTTTTCCGAGTGTCTCACCCCCCCCAAAAAAAAAAAAGAAAAAAAAAAAAGTACTTGCTCGGACTTGGAAAATTAATGTTATATCTAGAGCACTAATAGGCTTACTAATAACCAAGTATTTTTTCGAGTGTCTCTCTCAAAAAAAAAAAAAAAAAAAAAAAACGACATTAACCTATCCCACCACTAATTCCCCTTCACCTCCTCTCCTCTCCTCTTCTTCTCTCTTCCTCTTCTCTCCATCTTCTCCCTTCCACCACTAACTCCTTCTCCATCTCCCTCCTCCCATCCTCCTGTCCCTCCTCTTCTCCTTCCTCTTGCCTCCTCTCTTCTCTCCATCTCTCCCCCCTTCCATCTTCTCTCCACCTTCTTCCAGTCCACCACTCTAACTTCCCCCCCCTCCCTCTTCACCTCCCTGCCTCCCATCTTGTCCTTCCTCTTCTTCTCTCCATCTTCTCCCCTTCCTCTTCTCTCCATCTTCTTCGAGTCACCACTAACTCCCCCTCCCTCTCTTCCCTCCCCTCTCTTCCCTTCCTCTTCTCTCCTTCTTCTTCGAGTCACCACTAACTCCCCCTCCCTCTCTCCTCCCCTCTCTTCCCTTCTCTTCTCTCCATCTTCTTCGGAGTCACCACTAACTCCCCTCCCTCTCTCCCTCCCCTCTCTTCCCTTCCTCTTCTCTCCATCTTCTTCGAGTCACACTAACCTCCCCATCCCTCTCTCCCTCTCCCTCTCTTCCCTTCCTCTTCTTCTTCTCTTCAGTCCCACTAACTCCCCCTCCCTTCTCCCTCCATCTTCTTCCCTTCCTCTTCTCTCCATCTTCTTCCAGTCACCACTAACTCCCCTCCTTCTCTCCCTCCCTCTCTCCCTTCCTCTTCCTCCATCTCTTCGAGTCACCACTAACTCCCCCTCCCTCTCTCCTCCCCTCTCTTCCCTTTCCTCTTCTCTCCATCTTTCTCGAGTCACCACTAACTCCCCTCCCTCCCTCTCTCCCTCCTCCCAGTCTTCCCAGGGAAGGTTCCAGTCACCACTAACTTCCCCCCCTTCTCTCCCTCCTCTCCCTCGAATCTTCTCCCCTTTCCTTCCTCCTCCACTTCAGTCACCACTAACTCCCCTCCCTCTCTCTCCCTCCTCCTCAGTCTGTCCCAGGGGAAGGAAGTCGACGACCCCCGGACGAGGTCGCCCTCCCTCTCCCTCCTTCCAGTCTTGTCCTTCCTCTTCTTCTCTCCATCTTCTTCCAGTCACCACTAACTCCCCCTCCCTCCCTCTCTCCCTCCTGCCAGTCTTGTCCCAGGGGAAGGAAGTCGACGACACCCCGGACGAGGTCGCCCTCCTCTCCTGCGGCGTCAACTTCTGCCCCCACACCCACGCCGAGAACAACAACACCAACCTCGCGAAGCCGCCGGAGTCACAGATCTACACCATGGCTTCCATCTACCTGGCTTGTGCTCTCCTGTCCTCCGTGATTATCGCCGTTTTCGTGGATCCGCTGACCAAGTAGGTGGGGGGAGTGGGTGCTGGAGAGTGGGTACACACGCGCACATGCACGTACACACACACCACATGCACGTTCACACACATACACGTTCACACACGCACACATACACGGACGTACACGCACACGCACACATACCACACACACACACCACATGCACACGCAAGCACACATACACGTTCACACACATGCACGTTCACACACACACGCACACGCACACGCACACGCACACGCAAACGTACACGCACACACACACACGCACACGCGCACACACACACACACGCACAAACTCAACGGATATCTATATCTACATCGATATAACTGTCTGTCTGTCTCGTGGAATTAAGAATTGCAAAATATATGCAAAGTGTTTTTATTGTTATAAGCAGCAATCTCATTTGATTTCTTTATTTGTGTTCTTTATCTTTCTCTCGTCTGTCTGTCTGGTCTCTGTCTCTCTCTCTTTCTGTTCTGTCTCTCTCTCTCCTTCTTCTTCTGTCTGTCTTCTCTCTATCTGTCTGTCTCTTTCCTTCTTTCTTTCTCTCTCTCTCTCTCTCTCTCTCTCTCTCTCTCTCTCTTCTCTCTCTCTCTCTCTCTCCCTCTCTCTCTCTCTCTCTCTCTCTCTCCCCTCTCTCTCTCTCTCTCTCTCTCTCTCTCTCTCTCTCTCTCTCTCTCTCTTCTCCTCCATTCGTAGTAATCCACACGCGGTATTGTTTATAGTTCTCCAAGTAAATACGATTTTCCTATTAGACGTGACTGCATAGGAGGAAAAAAATCTATAAGTTAGATAACCTTATCCGATAAGCTAGTGACTTTTCCTTGTCTTATCGGAAAGGAGACTCAACTGAATTGCTGTTCGCTTTATTCCAGGAAAGTTAACGGATAAACAATGGTGTTTTTTTTTTTTTTTTAAGGGGTTGACGCCCCAACTTCAGGGTCCTTTATGATTATTGAAGAATTATAGCTTATCGTAGTCTGAAAGTTATCGAGGTTGTATGATATACTGCGTGGTCTACTAAGGACTTATAGCTTAGCATAGTCTGGAAGTCATTGTTGTTTTGTTATATGCTGTGTGGTCTATCGGGTATGTTATGATTTGTTATGATAGAGAGACATGATGCATTTTACTATATTATTATCAGGTGTAAATTCTGTTCTTTTCTACGAATTGTGGATAGGCCTATAATACTATAATGTAGATAAGGTGATATACAGTTTTTTTTTCAAGGAATTTTATAAAGAAGTTTCACCTTCTCTACGAATTTTGGATAGGCCTACAATATCACTTGATCGGCAGGGGGAAAAAATAAAATAATATAGGTAAATATGGTTTGTCTCGACTACGTGTGGATACAAAAAAAAAAAAATTATATTGATATGCTTAAGAAAAAAAGCCTATTTTACGTATAGGCTCAGGATATTCGTCACCATTGATTTCTTTATTTGTTCTTTTCTTTGTCTGTCTGCTGTCTGTCTTCTCTCTCTTCCTTCTTTCTGTTTTTTCTGTCTGTCTCTTCTCTCTCTCTCTTTCCTTCTTTCTGTCTGTCTTGTCTCCTTCTCTCCCTTCCTCTCTTCTCTTCTCTCTCTCTCCTTCTTCTCTCTTCTTTCTTGTCTGTCTGTCTGTCTGTCTCTCTCTCTCTCTCTCTCTCTCTCTCTCTCTCTCTCCTCTTCTCTCCACTCTCTTCTCTCTCTCTCTCTCTCTCTCTCTCTCTCTCTCTCTCTCTCTCTCCTCTCTCTCTGTCTCTCTCTCTCTCTCTCTCTCTCTCTCTCTCTCTCTCTCTCTCTCTCCTTCTTTTCTTCTTCTTCTCTCTCTCTCTCTTCTCTCTCTCTCTCTCTCCTCTCTCTCTCTCTCTCTCTCTCTCTCTCTCTCTCTTCTCTCTCTCTCTCTCTCTCTCTCTCTCTCTCCTTTCTCTCTCCTCGTCTCTCTCTCTCTCTCTCTCTCTGCTCTCTCTCTCTCTCTCTCTCTCTCTCTCTCTCTCTCTCTCTCTCTCTCTCTCTCTCTCTCCCTCCCTCCTTCCCCCTCCCGTGTGAAGTGGATAGGCCGTATATAATACCACTTAATGGAAACATAAGCCTCAGAAACACTTTAATATAATATGCATATTTTTGGCCTCAAGAAAGTTTCTGATCTCTTACTTAGTATAGATAGGGCCTACAATTACCTCTTCAAATAAAAAACGTCCTTTTCTTCAAACAACGGACCAACACGTTTCTCTCACTCTCTGTGGGGATTAGGCCCTATATCTGGTGAGTAGTTGCAGCGGTAGCGTCTCGTTCTTACTGAACCCGCGTTTTAAATCCCGCACCGCCAGCTGGATGATGAAACCCGGTCCATTCCTTACACACAGGGGGTAGTTTTGAAGCCCAAATATAAACAGACAACCTATTACACACACACACTCACTCGCTCTCTTCTCGTCTCTCTCTCTCTCTCTCATCTTCTCTCTTCTTCTCTTCTCCTTCTCTCTCTCTTCTCTTCTCCTCTCTCTCTCTCTCTCTCTTCTCTCTCTCCTCTCTCTCTCTCTCTTCTCTCTCTCTCTCTCTCTCTCTCCCTCTCTCTCTCTCTCTCTCTCTCTCACTCCTCTCTACTCTCTCTCTCTCTCCTCTCTCTCTCTTCTCTCTCTCTCTCTCTCTCTCTCTCTCACACACACACACACACAACACACACAAAAAAAAAAAAAAATCAACAAATAACACAAAATCCTCTAATCATCCCTCATTTTCCCTCCCCTCCCTCTTCCCCCCCATCCCCTCCCTCCTCCCTGCCCTTCCCCAACCCCATCCCCACCACACTCCCCCTCCCCTCCCCAGTCCCCATCCCCCCTCCCACCCTTCTCCCCTCCCTCCCCCTTCCCTTCTCCCTTCCCCCACCCCCCCAACCTTCTCCCCATCCCCCCTTCCCTCCTCCCAACTTCCCCCCCCCTCCCCATCCCCCCTTCTCCCTCTTCCCCCTCATCCCAACCCTCCCCCCCCCACTCCCCCCACACCCCCTGCCCCCCCATCCCCCTCCCACTCCCACCCCTCTCCCCTCCTCCCACTTCTCTTCCCCCTCCCCTCCCCCCTTCTCACCTCCCACCCCACCTCTCCCTCCTTCCTCCCTCCCTCCCCCCTCCTTTCAGGTACGGCGAAGATGACCGCGTGGGCTCCTCGACCGGCAAGAGCGGCTTGGCACTCCTCTCGTGGCCACTTTCAACCACATGAGGCACCCCTACCAGTTGCTGATCATTCCCCTCACCATCTGGTCGGGGGTCGAGCAGGCTTTCATCGGCCGCTGCTGATTACACGGCTGTGAGTTTTTTAAATTTAAATTACTTATATTAATTATGATGATTATTATTATCTTATTGTTACGTTCAGTGAGTTTTTTTTTTTTTAATTATTAATTATGATTATGATTATTATTATTTCTTGTTACTTTATCTTATTATCATTTATTTTATAATCTGTTACTTTATCATTACTATACTATAAATTATTGTTATCGTTATTATGTTAGTATTATATGTATTTTATAATCATTATTATTATTATTGCCATTGCTATTACTATTACTGTACTTTATTATTACTTATTGTATCATCATTATCTCATTATTAATTTATTATTATTATGTATTTATTATATTATCATTATTTTATTGCTTACTATTACTATTACTATTACTTTTTTAATCATTACTATCATTCGTTATTACTATCCTTATTCTATCATTATTTCCCTTTCCATTTTCTCTCAATTTCCCCATTTTTCCTCATTCCCCCCCCCCACCCCTCCCACCCCCACCCACACCCACCCACCCCACCCACGCCCAACCACGCAACCATAGGCCTACGTCTCCTGCGGCCTGGGTGTCCACATGGTCGGCTACGTCATGATCTGCTACGGGGTCTGCGACGCTGTCTGCTCCGTCAGCTTCAGCCCGCTCGTCAAGATGATTGGGCGTGTGAGGGTGTTCAGCGTGGGCGCCGTCATCAACTTGGTCATCATCATCACTCTTCGGTACTGGATGCCGCACCCGGACGACTTCCTCGTGTTCTTCGTCATGGCGGCGCTGTGGGGCGTGTCCGACGCCGTGTGGCAGACGCAGATCAATGGTGGGTGTTGGGGGAAAGAGGGAGGGGGGGGGGGAAAAAAAGAGGGAGGGGGTATGTAAAAAATAAAAAAGGAGGGAGGGGTAATGTAAAAAAAAAAAAAAAAAAAAGGGAAGGGGTATGTAAAAAAAGGGTGGGGGGGGGGTAAGGAAAAAAAGGGGGGTAGTAAAAAAAAAAAAAAAAAAAGGGAGGGTATGTAAAAAAAAAAAAAAAAAAAGAGGGAGGGGGATGTAAAAAAATGGGGAATGTAAAAAAAGAGAGGGGAAAAAAAATGTAAAAAAAAGGGAGGGGGGTATGTAAAAAAAAATGTAAATAGTTGTACAGCTGTTAGAAGACAGCTTTGGAGCGTGCTATAGATGCTCTGGTTATCATCATTTGTTTTATTATTATTATTTATCATTATCTTTTATATTTTTATTATTTTTTTATAATAATTATTATATTTTATTTTTTTTTTTATTTTTTTTTTTTTTTTTTTTTTTTTTGGTCCAGGTGGAATTTTATAAAAATGGTGTAAATACAGGTTAATTTGAAGGTTTTGGCAGCTTTCTTATTTTAGCACAACTGGTATTTAGTATTTAGTAATTTAGTTTATTCTTTTCTTACCTTCAGCTCTCAATAGAAATGACTTTTGTTGCCTCGCTTTCTATTATGGCAACTTATATACATATTCTTTTTTTTCTGTAGCTTTTCTAAAAATACTTTAAGAGAAACTGGAAAATTTTTCTTTCTTTTTTTTTTTTACTTACTTTTCTGTATGAATTTTCCTTTTCCTTTAAGTCTTTTATAATTGTCTTCAGGTATATTTTTTCATTAATTTTCCCAAATTTCTTCTTAAATTGTATATATTCAAATCTGGCAACTCATTTATTTTGGTTCTGGGACTATTTTTTTTTTCATCTTTTAATAGGTTTGAAACTTATAATTATTTCCGTTTCTCTCCTGTATATATTTTATATATCTACTTGTCAAATACCTTTTTATTGGTTTAAGGCACTTTTTCTTGTAGTTCTTTTTGTGTTTATCTCGGTGAAGGACGAAGCAAGGAAGATGGAGATAAGAGAGAAAAATAAATTAATAATTCTCAATAAATGTGCTTTGTGAGGTTCATTTTAGTAACTTCTGATACCAACAGATGGCGCCAATGTCCACTGGCCATTACGCTTTGAATCAATGTAGATATCACCGCCTTTTGCTTCATTTAGCGCCATCTGTTATTCGTCGGCACAACTATAACAACGTCACGAAAATTTCCACACAATCCACCCACAGTTTCCCTTCCTCACTCCACCTTCCTTGGGGAATATTTTTTCCGTTCTGACAGAGAGAAAAACAAAAATAAGCACCGAGTCCTCAAATACATCTTCCACAATATCTCACAACCTTCCTTTCTTTCCTTTTCTCCCCCAAACTAACTCCACTAGCTCTATACGGCGTCCTCTTCACCGATAGTTCAGAAGCAGCCTTTAGCAACTACCGACTGTGGGAGAGTCTGGGCTACATCCTGGGCTATGTTGTCACCACATACTCGTGTATGATGACCAAGCTTTACTTTAACATGTGTATCCTCGCGGTTGGGATGCTGGGCTTCTATGCCATCGAAATCTGGGAGAGGAAGAAGGGAAACCACAAGAAGATGAGTAAAAAGAAAAGAGATTTTTTTTTTCCTTTTTTTCTCTCTCTCTCTCTTTCCTTCGACGAAAACAAGCAAGTATTTTTGTGTTTGTACAGAGGCAAGACAATAATAAAGCAGGTTGGGTAGTGTAAATAGATAGGTGCTGTGTGTGTGTGTGTGTGTGTGTGTGTGGAAAACCGTCACGTAAGTATTTGTTTCTCATTTAACAATTTGTGCTCTCTCTCTTTATATATGTCTATCTTTTTTTCTCTTCTCTCTCTCTCTCTCTCTCTCTCTCGTCTCTCTTCTCTCTCTCTCTCTCTCTTCTCTCTCTCTCTCTCTCTCTCTCTTTCTCTTCTCTCTCTCTCTCCTTCTCTCTTTTCTAATTCTGTCTTTCTCTCTCTCTCTCTCTCTCTCTCTCTCTCTCTCTCTCTCTCTCTCTCTCTCTCTCTCTCTCTCTCTTCTCTCTCTCTCCTCTCTCTCTCTCTCTCTCTTTACAATTTGTTTCTCCTCTCTCTCTCTCTCTCTCTCTCTCTCTCTCTCTCTCCTCTCTCTCCTCTCTCTCCTTCTCTCCTCTCTCTCTCTCTCTCTCTCTCTCTCTCTCTCTCTCGTTTAACAATTTGTGTTTCTCTCTTTCTCTCTCTCTCTCTCTCTTCTCTCTCGTTCTCTCTCCTCTCTCTCTCTCCTCTCTCTCTCTCTCTCTCTCTCTCTTTCTCGTCACTCTCTCTTCTCTGTTTAACAATTTGTGTTTTTTCTCTCCTCTCCTCGCTCTCTTCTTCTCTCTCTCCCTCTCTCTCTCTTACTCATCTCTCTCCTCTCAGTCTCTCTCTCCTCACCCCTCTCCTCTCTCTCGGTCTCTCTCTTCTCTCTCTTCTCCTCACATCTCTCACATCACTCGCCTCCTCTCTCACATCTTCTTTCTTTCTATAGGACTTTCTTTCTCTTCCCCCTCGTTTAAAAAAAAATAAAAAACAATTTGTGGTCTCTCTCCTCACACTGCAGCTCATATGAGGGTTCTGCGTTTTCGCTAAAAACAGTGGGAGGCTGGGTTTGTATTTATCTGCACCGGTCTCGCGTTATTTAAGGTAGCTGTTGGATCGTTCGATGGTGCGTATGGCGCCGGGACTGAAGGGACATACACGTCATACGTGCACCGGGTTTAGATGCTCGAATGAGATCAACGCCGTATATGTGACAGTATGATGTATTGGAGACTCTCAGAGAGTATTTGAGAGGATCACGATGTAGAGATATGCCGAGTGTTCAGTTGAGAAAGAGACGTGATGAGTGCGCTCTGCGACACTTTCTAAGAGCATACGAAATGAAGACGGACTCTGGGTAGATGTGCTGTTACGATGGAGTTTCGGAGGCGGGGCGTGCTCGCGAGGTGACCGCCGGCAATATATGGACCATGAGCAATGTTATGGATACGGCTACGTGTCGGACTTGCGTCGAGCACTGAGTGACTGTGATAAGTAATAGGCAGTGCTGCAGCGTCAGAGGGACAGGTGGGAGGTCGCTGCTCTTCCGGCTCGGCTCTCTCTCTCCCTCTCTCATCATCTTCTCTCCTCTCATCTCTCTTCTCTCTTCTCTCTCTCTCTATCTATCTATTCCTGGCGCGCGGGCCTCTGTCTTCTTCCTCCCTCTCTCCCTTTCTTTCCCTCCTCCCCTCCCTCTCCGCGTTCTCCCTTGGCATGCCCCCCCCCCCCACCGTGTCTACGGTTCATGTGAAATACACGTCTTTTATGACACGTGAAGTAACGACCAAACATGAGAACAAATAAATAAGTAAAAAAATTGTGAATAGATAATTTAAAAAATAAATGAGGACATACCGCATAAATAACTTTAAACTATGATTCAGTATTTTGCACTGTTTTTTTCTTCTTACTTTTCCTTTTTTCTTCTTTCGTTTCTTTAAGAGTCTTTCCTTTTATGTATTTAGTGATGTGTTGTGAAAGATTATGCCAAGATTTTTTTAAAGCAAGAGGTGATAAGACCTATTAATTTAAAAAAATTATAATCATTTAATAAAAATTCTTAAGTGGGTTAGGTATCAAAACACGTTTTTTCCAAATAAATAAACCAAAGCATTGGGGCATAGTTTAATTGGCAAATTTTTTTTCTTTTTAAAATTTGAATTTTGATATAATTGTGCCCATGTCCAATTTGGGCATTAATAGAAATGATGATAAGATAATATTTTTATTTTGTATAGAATATTTATGTTAAAGTGATACAAGTGAGACAAACAATATAAAGAAAATTCTAAATTTCACAATCCTATCTAACAAAATGATTAAGCAAAGCATTTTACCCATTATATTAGTACTAAATAGATTAGATTTATATTCAGAACAAGAAATATAAACTAATAGTACTTTCCTCAGTTTGCTAAATTTAATAAAATATTAATAATGTTTATTATCAAATTAAACTATAAGTAAACTATTATAGAAAAAATGTTCACCTAATTGTATTTTTTCAGCTTTTTTTTTTTTAGACAGTAACGAAGATAATAAAATGATAATCAAAACAATAGCACACTTAAGAAATAATGCTTTTAAAAAACAACAAATTAATAGCAATTAACAGAATAATGATTCAAAAATAAGATTACATTAACATTGTAATTTCTTTAGTTTATTCGTTCATTTATCAATTAATTTCTATCTATTTCTTTATTTCAATTCATTCTTTTCTTTATTCCTATTCATTTCTTTCTTTATATATTCATTTGTATCTTTCTTTCTATTGATTTATCCATTCTTTTAATCCTTTATTTTTTACTCGTCTATTTTACCTTATTTTACCTCTTTCATTCATATGATTATTTAATTTTTATTTTATCTATCTGTTCATTTCTAACCCTTTTCTACCTATCTTACTCTTCCATTATATCTTCATTCTTTTACCAATCTATTAATTTCATCTCTATATTTTCTTTCTTTATTCATAACGTTTATTCGCCTATTCCTGCATTTCATTTCTATCGGTTTATTTTCTTCTTTCTATTCCTAAATTCATTTCTCTCCATTTCTTTTCTTTTCTTTCTATTCATACATCTATCTCCTATCCCTACATTAATTTTCTTTTCTTTCTATTAATACATTCATCTCTATCCGTTTATCTTCTTTTTTCTATTCATACATTCATTTCTACCCATTTATCTTCTTCTCTTTCCCTAAAAAATCCAGTACATTTATCTTATCCCTAACATTCATTTTCTTAACTCTTTCTAATCCATATCATTTAGACTCTACCTTATATTCATTTCTCTCTTCTATTCAACATCTTTATCCCTATCCCTTCACGATTCATTTGATCTCTTTCTTCCCTATCATTACATTTATCTCTATCGTCCCACATTTCACTTTCTTTTCTTTCCTATTCATACAGATTTTAATCTCTCTATCCTATTCATTTTCCTTTCTTCCTATCCATAGGAACATTTATCTCCATCCTTACATTCAGTTCTTTCCCTCTAATTATACACTTTTATCTCCTAATCGCCAACATTCATTTTGCTTCTCTCCTATTCCATTCACACTTTACTATCTCCTATCCCCGTCGCTAACATCATTTCATATTTCTTTTCTAATTCATACGTGTATTCTCCTAATCTTAGTTATTCAATTTATCTTCTCTTCAGCCTATTCAATAACATACTCCTATCCCTCTTACATTCATTTTCTCTTCTTTTTCTTCCTATTCATACATTTATGAGCTCATGTCGGCAGTATCACACAATATATGGAATAATTTCTTCTTCTCTCATTCATGGCTGCTTATTTGTGAGGTTTGATGTCGGATGGAGATCTCCGAATACATGACAGTTAGCTCTGATCCCCTACATTAATATTAGATTTGAGTTTAGTGCTAAGGTTATAGTCGATCACATGTGTGCGAATGTTCGACTCTGATAGTAGGTTGCAGCGGTAGCGACACCGGCGTAGGAAGGCGGGGAATTAGGATCCGCACATTCATTTCTTCTCTTTCTATTCTTAACTCCTATCGCTACAATTTCATTTTCTTTTCCCTCTACTTCATAATTTATCCTCTATCCCCTGCCCCATTTTCATTTTCTTCTCTCCTAATTCATACATTTATCTCTATCCTTATATATTTCATTTCTTTCTTTCATATTTATCTCCTATCCCTACATTCATTTCTTTTCTTTCTAATTCACATTTACACCCCTATCCCTACATTCATTTTCTTCTCTTTCTATCGCTATACGCCTACAGATTCATTTCTTCTTTCCCTCTATTCTATCACTTATCGTTATCCCCTATCTTCCATTCTCAATCCCCTATCCCCCTTACATTCATAATATTTTCTTCCCCTTTTCTTCCAATTCAACATTTACCCCTCTTAATCCTCCATTCCCCCTCTTTCCTGAACTAAACCTCGCTGCCTCTCCCTCTCCCTCCTGCAGCTCTCTCTCTATCTCCTCTATCTAACCCCTCCTCTCTCCCTCTCCCCCTCTCGCCCCCCACCTCCGTCTCTCTCTCTCCTAACCCTCTCCTCCGTCTCTCTTCCCCCCCTCCTCCGCCTCCGTCTCTCTCTCTCTAACTCCCTCTCTCCCTCCCCCTCTCCCTCCCCCCGCCCCCGTCCTCGGTCCCACCGCACCCGTCTCTCTCTATCCTCTAACTAACCCTCCCGTCTCTCCTCGCTCTCGTCATCCCCCGCCCCTCTTCATCTCTCTCTCCCTTTAACTCTAACCCCTCTTCTCCCCAGACAAAAAACCGCCCAACTCCTCTCTCTAAATGCCTCCTCTCCGCCTCTCACCACTCCCACAACCCCCCCCCCCACCCTCTTCTCTATCTTCTATCTATCTAACCAAACCCCTATCTCCCTCTCCCTCCTGCAGCCTTCTACGGGCGTGATCTTCCCCCGGCGGAGTCCGAGGGGCGGGCCTTCAAGCAACTAACACCGCCTTGGGAGAGCCTGGGCTTCATCCTTCGCTACGTCGGGAGCGCAAAACCGACCACTGCGTCCGACCTGAAGACGGCACCAACTCATCATACTCCATCGTCTTCGGATCGTCCGGGTACTCCACGCCATCGGGGTGATCGAGACGGCGGGGGGGCCTGGCACGGGACGAGGAGGGGAGAAGGTCCGTGCCGCGATCGGCTGCTCCTCAGAAGGTTGAAGGGGGT